TCCATTCTCCTCTCGGGATCTTGGACACGCACGCAAACGCGCCTGGCGTGAGTTTTAAGCCACCCGGTCTGGGACGTGAACCGAGGTCGACTATGTGGGAGTCCAGTGACATAGCCATTATGCTAACTGCTGGTTCCCCAGGGCAATCTTCTTAACAGTGAAAATAGTGTCAATGGGGCCAGCATTTAGCATGGTGGTTAAGGCACTGGACTCCCACATGGCCAACTGCTGTTCGAGTACCAGACCTGGTGGCTTGAAACTCATGCTGGGTGCATGTGCATGCGTGTGTGTTCAAAATCCCAGGAAGAGAATGGAGGAGAAGAGATTGTGCCATGGCCATCTACCCAAAGGGCAATTTCCGAGATTGTGCCATGGCCATCTACCCAAAGGGCGATTTCCCACTCTCCCTCTGACTGTTTCTATCTCTCTCTGGCAAGCGCACATGCTCTATGACAAAAACCTTTAAAAAAATAGTATTAACAGCCATTATGAGAACAGACTGATGTATATGCTTACACTTTTTCCTGCACTGTGTACCTTAAATATTTGAGTGCAAAAGGGAAAAAATCAAGCCAGGAAAAAAAAAAAGCCATAATAAAATGCGTACATGTATTATATCTTATTTGAAGAATGCACTTTCTTCTATTCAGTTAGCTCTTCTTTGATCTTTTATGAAATTGTAATTGAAGTACAAGTACATATGTGGGGTATACGTGTATGTGTGTATACACAGAAAAGTATGGGGCCAGCAGATGGTATAGTATTTAAGGCACTGGATTCCCACATGGCCGATCACGGTTCGAGTCCCGGACACAACGTCTTAAAACTCATGCTGGGCGCATGTCTGTGAGTACCCAAAATCCTGAGAGGAGAATGGAAGAGAAGGGACTGTGGTGTGGCCATCTCCCCTGGGCAGTGGGTTCTCACTTTCTGTCTCTGACTCTCTGGTGAACACACACGCCCTATGACAAACATCTCTCAAAAAAAAAAAAAAGGAAGAAAGAAAAGTGCATTGATTAAATGTACAATCTGCTGAATTTCTACAAGCTGAACAACAATACCTAAGTAGCCAACACAGATTGAGAAACAGAACATAAACAGACCCGCCCCCAGTCTCAGTTTATATTCCCATTGTGCTACTGCAGCATCCTGTTCTCAGTTCCGGGATTCTTATACTAGAAACCAAGCTTGCTCATTCTCTTTGTGTCTTTGGCACCACTGTGATACAAGAGAATTTTCAAAATTCTGATCTGTGATCTTACCAGCTCATTGGTCTAGGTACAAGATACCTCATATTTTGACAAGAAGTTGCAGAAAAAAAAAATGCTATTGAAGTGACTGTGTTTTTAAAGCAGAACTTTTTTTTGTTTTTGTTTTTGTTTTTAGAGAGGCTTTTTTTTCCCTTCAGGGCCTACACACTCACCCAAGAGACAGGGAGAAATCACCCCCCCCCAGGGGAGATGGCCACACCACCATCCCTTCTCCTCCAGTCTCCTCTCTAGATTTTGGGCACATATGCACACGTGCCTGGCATGGGTTTTCAAGCTGCCAGGTCCAGGACTCGAACCATGGTCTACCACCTGGGAGTCCAGTAGTGTATCCATTATGCCATCTACTGGTCCCAAAGCAAAACAATTTTGATCTCATGGAATTCTACAAGCTTCACCCACCTAATTTGAATCCTATAATGGTTGTGGCCCTTAGTGGAACTTTCCATTGGTACATATACTATCTCACTAGTTGGAAATGTTTTACTTTGTTTGTATATATTCCATAATAAGACATGGAAAAGAACTATATAAGCAGCAAATGCTAGTTTTCCTTGACTGACGAAATGTTTTGCACAAGTGCGTGTAGTTGTCAGAAGAAATGTCTAGGAGAAATATAAATTGCCTTTTACTTTGAGAGAAAGCTTTTGCTTTTGCCTTCATTTACAGTTTTGAAATTCTGTAGATTTTGAGAGCTAGCAGATTTTGAGAGCTAGCAGATTTGCTTAGAATGAGATGACATTTTTCTATACTGTTGCATTTTTTTTTGGATGGTAGGAAGAGAACACTCAGATGCATGTGCACACCTACATGTAGCATCACAGTAGAACGAGGTTAACTGGTTTATTAGCCAAGGATTCAGAAAGTATTGGAAGTAAGAGTGATATGAATGTTGAGTGTTGATAAATGTTGAAGAATCAGCACTCGAGGGGACGTGGGCTACTTTGTAGTGTATGCCAATTTCTGCATGTAAGTAGTCGGAAAGTTTTCAAGCAGCCTGCTGCAGGTCACTGAGTGTGGCATTGGGAAGAGACGGGCAGCTCTGGCCCTCCCAGACCAATGCAGGCTGTATCCAGCACGCCAGTGCAGAGGTGGTACAGACCGGGAGGCTTCTGTCACTGCTACTCTTTCTTTCCTTTCCTTTTCTTTTTTTTCTTTCCTTCTTTCCTTCCTTCCTTCCTTTCCTTCTTTCTTAGTTTCCTTCCTTCTTTCCTTCCTTCCTTCCTTTCCTTCTTTCTTATTTTCCTTCCTTCCTTCCTTCCTTTCCTTCTTTCTTAGTTTCCTTCTTTCCTTCCTTCCTTCTTTCCATCCTTCCTTCCTTTCCTTTCTTAGTTTCCTTCCTTCCTTCCTTCCTCCCTTCCTTTCCGATTCTTTCTTAGTTTCCTTCTTTCCTTCCTTCTTTCCTTCCTTCCTTCCTTCCTTTCCTTCTTTCTTAGTTTCCTTTTTTCCATCCTTCCTTTCTTCCTTTCATTTATTTCTTTTCTTTTCTTTCCTTCCTTCCCCCTTCCCTCCCTCCAGAGGGCATATGTATGTGCTCTCCGTGAGTGGAGGGGGCAGGGGAGGGGAGAAAGAAAGCACTACCCAATGGGGCCGTAGTCACACTGCAATCCTTTTTCCTCTGTTTCTCCATACCATTGAGATTTGGGGCACACACACACACACACACACACACACACACACACATATACCTAGTGCATTTTCAAGCCATTGGGACTGGGATTCGACCTGAGGTCAGCCAGGTGGGATCCAGCTCTCACATGGATTAACCACTGTGCTGCAGGGCCAGCCCTTTTCTGTCTTTTACTTTGGATGCTGGTTACAGTTGTGCTTATTTTGTACAGTTTTCCTGAGCTGATCACTCCTAATCCATGCCCTTTTCTGAGTGAATGTTATGCTACAATGTAAAAGTTGAAGGTTTTTGAAAAGCACTTGTCCTGGAGCTGCTGATATTCCTCAGCCATTCTTGATCTTGTGGCTTTTCAGAGAAACTGCAGTCTCTTTTACCAAGTGTTCTAGCTCCTCCTTATGAAGTTCTTCCCTCTCCCTTCCTCTTCTGAGTTGGCGATAAGTAGTCTGTCTGCTCAGCGTCCCCTGAGCTGGCCCTGCAGGGGTGCACGTCTGCACTGTTGTTCTCCTTCTCATCCTTCTCCCTCCCTGGAATTCCTTCTTAATTCCTTCTTCTGGTATCCAAGTCCTAGCTTTCGCAGAAGCACTTCTAACCACTTTCGTTCTGGCTGCCGAATATCTATAGCTAACAGATAAGTGATATCATGTACAAACATATCCCACAGCTTGTTCTTGCTATTTATCTGATTTCAAAAGTCTCTCCTCAAACTTAGAAGCCTATCATGCTTTTGTATTTTCATATCTGTGGGAGCTACGAGAGAGTTACCCCCTCAACACCCCACATACTGTGAAATGCCTGTTAATTAAGATATAAGGGGGGGGAGGGATATCTGTGTTGTTTATTTCTCACCTATTAAATCCTCCTTCCAAATCAAGAAGTTCCCTAAAGCTACCCTAGAGTTAACCTACCATCTTTAAAACCCGTGTGACTGAGTTCTGGATGTGTGCGGTATCTTGCAGGCAGTCGTGGGTCAGACGAGGCTCTTTTGAATCTGCCCCAGTTCACTTCTGCACCTAAATCCAGTGTTCTTTGCCACCATCCTCTCTGAGTGACTTGGGACATCACTTCTCCCATGACATGCATTCAGCCTTTCTATGTGGTTAGGTCTAATTTAATGGCTTTCATATTTTCATACGCTTTCATCTTTCACAATCCCCCAGTGGCTTCCCATCTCATGCAGCTGTAGAGCTTAAGTCCTGATGGTGGCCTATGAGGCCCTGTGTAATGTGACCCCATTAGCTCTCCGACCTTCTCTCTCCCCCCTTAGTCATTTCCCTTAAGTCATACTCGCCTCCTTTCTGGTCCCCAAACATGCCAAGCACACTCCTGCCTCAGGGCCCTTGCCCTTGCTGTTCCCTCTACCTGGATCTCTTCCCTGGCTCACTCCTTCACTCCTTTTTGCTTTCTGCTCAGAAGTCACCAGAGAGGCCTTTCCGAAGCATCTAGCTTAGCCACATGACTCCCCCGGCCCCGCCCCACCATCATGTCCTTTCCTGCTTTATCTGTCTTCGTAGCACTTTTCACCCTCTACCATGCTACTCCTTTCCTAGTAATTGCTTGTCCATCTCCTCTCCCTTGAATGTAAGCCCCATGAAGGCAAGGACTTTGTCTTTCTCTGTTGTGTGTTCAGTGTTGGTACCTCGCCTAGCATATAGTAGGTGCTTAATTGACATGTGACTAGATGGCTCTTCTCCAATTGGGAACCATCTTTCCAGCTTTTCCTGTTGTCATTGCTCCAGGATAGCAGAAACCTGACTGCTCATGACAGTTCTCCCGAGCCGTGTCCTCAGCCACTTGCCTCTCATTTATGACATCCCTCAGGCCAGCCAAATGATATTCCTTTCTAAAATTATTTTCTACAGTTGCAAAGTATTGGATTGTAGCCTATGACTTTTCAATGCTGGGATTTCCAATATTCCTTTTGAGGCCTGGCTTTATGCAATTTAAGAGCAGAGAATGGTGGCAGAGGGAGGCGACATAGGGTTAAATAAAAAAGGGCATCTTGATGCACACTGAAATCCCATTTACTTTTTCTATTAGTGGTAGGCTAGCTGCTAAACTAAACAAGCCCCCAAGTCTCAGCGTCATAGCACAGTAAAAAGCTGTCTATGCTTCTTGTCATACCAGGTTTGCAGGGAGCCCATTCCATTTGGTAGTTGCTGGGAAAAGAGAAGGTGGAAGATTGATGTGGAGTGTTTTACAAATAGATCTGCAACTGGCACATGGACACTCCTGCTCACATCCCATTGGTTAGAATTCCAGCATATGGCCCCACCAAACTGCAAGTGAATCTGGGATATGTAGTTTAGCTATATGTGCAGAGAGAAAAGGAAATTAAGATGAATAAATTCTGAATGGTGTCTGCAACAGTCTTGTTCAAGCATTTTTGCAAGTCACTCAACTTAGGTGGGCCATTGCCAAATTCATTTACCAGGTTGCCTGCTGTGTTGATAAGATGAAAGGCCACTCACTGTGCATTATTATGTACTCATTTCTATTTCAACTTCAATTGTTATTTCAGATTTCTATCACTTGCTCTAAAGTGGAATAGAGATACAAATAAATGTTTATAATACATTAGAGTTTGTTTCTGGTTACCTAAGTTATACGAAGTATTTTGCTCCAACCCCCAAATAGCTATTGAAAGTAAAATAGCAAGAACAATTGACCATAAAAAGAAACCAAAAGAGATGGAACCAGCAGTTAGCGTAATGGCTATGTCACTGGACTCCCATATAGTCGACCACGGTTCGCGTCCCGGACCCGGTGGCTTAAACTCACGCCGGGCGCGTGTGTGCCCAAGATTCTGAGAGGATAACGGAGGAGAAGGGATTGTGGCATGGCCATCCCCCCTGGGGTGTGATTTCTCGCTTTCTGTCTCTCTGTCTCTCTCTGTCTGTCTGGCGAGCACACACACCCTATAGCAAAAACCTCTCCAAAAAAAAAAAAAAAGAAAGAAAGAAAGAAAAAGAAAAGAAACCAAAAGAGATCTTTCCCTTGGAAAAAAAAATCAAGCTACTGACTTCTGTCTTTGTAACTTGCAGAGACAAATCCATGAATGGAATTTTACAGCCTCTTCCATTAAGGGAATAAGGTAAGAACATAAGAGGAAAATGTAATCATTGTTAAATACAAATGATGATGATAATGCTTTATATATTTTCATGTTTCTACTTGCTACGGTTTGAATATGTCTCCCCACAATTCATGTGTTCAGCCAATGTAATGAGATTAAGAGGGTGAAAACATACTCTGATTATAGTGTCCTGCCCCACCGGGCCTTTGGGAAGAGATGAGTAATTGGGTGGTTAGGGCAAGGTCCCCATGATTGATTTCTGATGTGCTTATAAAGAGGCAATGAGGCAGGCAGGGGCCACATGGATATAGACCGTGCTCTGCTCTACCTAAGATCCTGCACTCTGCCATGTTCTAGCTTCACCAGAAGTTGGACCCTGGGCCCTGGACCCCCAGTGAGCTGAGTAAACCTACATCTCTTCATAAATCACTCAGTGTCAGGCGCTTCCGTTAGCAATGCCATAATGAACTAAGACACCACTTACTCATAATATGTGATCTTATTTTTAACAGAATGTGAAATGGACTATTTTCTGTTTCATTGCCCTGCCTAAGCTAGTTCATAATGTGTTGCTATTAAGAACTTCTTGGTTTGTTATGCCAGAGGAGCTTTTCTTGTATGTGTCAGATGAAACGCTCCCATCTCAAACTTTTTTAAAAAGTTGTATCTGTAGGAAGAGAAAAATGAAAAATGTCTCTTCTTTAAGTAAGAGGTTTTTTTTTTTTAAACATTTTTTTGAGAGGTTTTTGCTATAAGACCCATGCACTTGCTGGAAAAACAGAGACAGAGAGACAGAAAGCAGGAAATCACCCCCCCAGGGGGGATAGTCATGCCACACTCCCTTCTCTATTTTCCTCTCGAGATCTTGGGCACACATGAACACGCACCTGGCATGAGTTTAGGCCTCTGGGTCCAGGACTCAACCACAGTTGTGAGTCCAGCAATGTAACCATTATGCCGTCTGCTGGTCCCCAAGATTTCTTCCCTTTTTGGCCATAGGGTGCGTGCACTCACAGGAAAGAGACAGAAACAGAGAGAGGGAAAGTGAGAAATCATACCCCAGGGGTATGGCCATGTTGCAATCCCTTCCCTTCCATTCTCCTCTGAGGATTTTGGGCAAGCATGCACATGTGCCCAGTGTTTGTTTCAAGCTACTGGGTCTGAGACTCAAACTGCGGAGTTGGCCATGTGGGATCCAGTGCCTTAACCACCACGCCACCTGCTGACCCTACTTTTGCAGTTTTATAACTTTATTTGAAAATCAGTGGTTAGTTCTCATCCACGTTGACTGTAGATTTTTGAAAGTGGTAACAGGTACATAGGTCACCAGAGTGTAGAGCGTATTTGGTGACTCTTTATCCTTATTATGTTTTCTGGACAGCCACACATGTGTATGGTATGGGATACTCCTGATTTCTTTAGCCCACACAGCTTTGTGAAACCTGATATCAATGCACACATCTGGAGTCCCCATCTTCTTCATGGCAAATTCCCAGACCTTTTTGGGTACCTCAGGGGCACATGTCTTGAAGCCCATGCCATGGATGCTCTTGTGAATGTTGATGGTGTGTTTTGGGATCAGAATCTCATTGATGGCAGAAAGGCTCTTCTCGACCCTTCTTCGTGGGACTCATTCTGCCCAGCCCAAGTTAGAAGGGAAGACTGCAAGGGACTGTGAGAGAAGGAAAGTAGCCTGAGTTAAAGGTTTTTAAGTGCTCAGGGACCCTGAGAGGTGAAGCCAGAAGTTGCTTGGTAATGACATTTGAGCAGGATCTCCTGGCGATAGTAATAGAGCCAGAGGGATTGTTATCCGGGAGGGTGTGAGGTGGCATGCTCTCAGGAGCTGGGTGGTGCTTGCTGTTTGGAACAGGCATGGTGACAGTTGGGGCTGAGCCGTGTATGGCCTTTCCCAAGCAGAGCTAACACACATCAGCTGCACCTGTCATCTTAGCAGCACGTCCCAGGGTAGGAGTGGCTTGAATTAGATTGTGAGTTCTAATCCCACTTCTGCTCTGTGAGCCTGGGAAAGTCACTCAGCCTTTCTAGCTCTCTGGTTTTTCTCCTTTCATTTGAATATGAGCTCCAAGAAGGCAGGGACTATGTCTTTCTCTATTGTGTTTTCAGTATTGGTACCTTTCCTAGCGCATAGTGGGTACTTAATTGGCATATGTGAATAGATGGCTCTTCGCCCATTGGGAACCATCTTCCCAGTCTTTCCCTGTTGTCATTGTCCCAGGATGGCAGAAACTTGACTGCTCGTCGTGGCCATTCTCCTGAGCCATGTGCCTCTCATTTATGACTGTGCTCAGCCAAGCAAATGGATTTCCCTTCTTAAATGTCTTTTCTACAGCTGTACTATGTTGTATACTATGACATTTCTAAAATTCAAAAAGTGTTGAACATTTTCCGTAGTGTATTACTCATGGCTAAGTTGTAAAAGAACGCATATGGTCAAGAACCTGCTGTTTGGGCCAGCAAGTGGTATGAAGGTTAAGGCATTGGATCCCACATGGCCAACTGTGCAGTTCAAGTCCTAGACCCAGTGACTTGAAAATCATGCTGAGTACATTTGCATACAGGCCCAGAATCCCAAAAGGAGTATAGAGAAAAAGGGATTGTAGCATGGGTCATCCACCTAGGGCTGGGGTAGGGGAATGATATTTTTCCCCTCTCTCTCTGGTGAGCACATGTGCCCTGTAGAAAACTGAAGAGGAGAAAAAAAGATTGTTCAAGGGAAATAAAAAAAAAAAGTACGAAATATAACTATTTGCAGAGGGCCTGAGATGAATCAGACATGAAGAGCATTCTTTGAGGTTTCCCAAAGTTACCCAGAGAACTGTGGCAATTACAGATTTGTTTGCAAAAGTTGCTTCTTGAATTTTATAGACAATAAAAGAACAATTTGGGGAGTATTTGTTAAAATATTAATGAAATTTGTAAAATGGAAGAAAATATGCTACTAGATTTTTCTTAAAAGTTTAAAGTTGGTATCATAATTTAAATATAATCACAATCTTCTGTTATGAAATTTTACAGCCTATCTAAGTTTGATGAACGGTGTTGTTTTCTTTATGTACATGATAATTCTGATGACTTTCAGATCTACTTTTCTACCGAAGACCAGTGTAGTAGGTGAGTACAGCTATTTCAGGCATTTGCAGTCTAATTATGATGAATCGTTTTTAAAGGGCCTTTGTTGAAAAAAAAATTATTTGCTATACTGTGTTTCTTGAAGACTTGAGTTACAATCTTCAGTTTTGAGTAGGAAAAAAGCTGCCAAATATTAATATTTGCTGAATACTCATTCAGTATCCAGTGCCTTTTTGGCCATACGTTGAACTATTATGAATAAGACTACATTCTTATGCCTTTTGGTGAACATACATGTTGATTTCTGTTGAACATATATGTAAGAGTAGATCACTGGGCTATAGAATAGTTTTATATTCAGCATGATACTGCCAGTAGTTTTCTGAAGTGGTCATATCAGTTTACGCTCCCTGCAGCAATATATGAGAGTTCCAGTCACTCCATATCCTTAACAACGATTGATATCATCTTTTACATTTTAGTTATTCTGACGACTGCATGTCATGTGTCTCCCGAGGAACCTGACTGTTGTTTTCCTGCTTTTAAAGATTAGGAGAAGAAAAAGTGGAATGGGTTTATTTGAGAAAAGAACATTTTAATGTTTTGTGGAAATTATCCTAAAGTGTACAGTATTCTTCCGTGCCATCTGTTTTTTTTTTTAAGTTTATTTGTTTCATGGGAGAGAAGCAGAGACACAGACCCCTGACAGGGTTTGCCACACTACAGTCCTCCCTCCAGCCTTCCATTAAGCCAGGATCACAGGTATGCCAGGCATGCCTAGCACTTTCAAGACAACTCAGGATTCAAACCCCAGTACGGCTCCAGTATCATGCAGTGGCACCCTACCACCTATGACACCGTTGAAGGGCCTCTGCTTACCATCTTCTTCTTTTTTTTTTTTTTTTTGAGAAGTTTTTGCTATAGGGTGCATGTGCTTGCCAGAAAGACAGAGAGACAGAAAGCGAGAAATCACCCCTCTCGGGGGGATGGCCACGCTACAATCCCTTCTCCATTCTCCTCTTGGGATCTTAGGCACGCACGCACATGTGCCTGGCATGAACTTAAGCCACTGGGTCTGGGATTCAAACCACGGTCGACTACATGGGAGTCTAGTGACATAGCCATTATGCTAACTGCTGGTCCCTCCCTACCATCTTAAGAGAGAATTATGGGGGCCAGCAGGTGGCATGGTGCTTAAGGTGCTGGGTTCCCACATAGCTGACTGG